CGTTGTGTGGAGTCGATCTTACGATGGCTGGTCTTCTGATCTTGCAGCACAGAGGCTTCTGCAGTTTAACCCACAGCGCCTCCACATCCCTATACATTGGGAGAAATCAGGGTCAAATCTTTAGTTCTCAAAGTGGAGGCTATCAGACTCCAAAGCCTAAGACCCATAGACTCAGGGAACAAAGCCTGGGAGTTATAGATCAGTGTGTGAGGGGGACCAGTTTTAAAGGCTGGGCGCTCATCTCCACCCATGCTCAGCTGGTCCCGGGGCTCACAGGTTCAGTGCGCAGCAGGGTGTAGGCTCTGGTTATGGAATGTCAGGGCACCAGAAACCCCTGGGGAAAGAAGGGAGGGAAAGCATCTACTTGGGACCCTTGCAATCTCTGGAATGACACAGCACCTGGCGGACCAGGGGTCCACAAATCCTGGCGCCAGCAGGCAGAGTTTGGGGGGGGGGACTGTTTGGAGTTGGGAGCTCTCCACAAGCCAAAGCAGGATGTTCAGCACTGCAGAAAATTCCCTGCCTGGAAGAAAAGAAGGTGAGATGCCCTTGGCAGGAATGGCAGCAAACCCATGCGACTGTGCTGTGCAATTTGCCATCTACTCTGCCACTAAGATTTTCCCTCCTGTTTTTTTGGTTAGTCAGGTTTTTACCAGTATTTTGGCCCCTTTGAAGTGGGTTCTTCTCACAGATGTATCCACAATTCCAAACCCTTCCCCTGACCAGCCTGCCTGCCTGCCTGCCTGTCTGCCAGCTTCTATGATGTCATGAGGACTCACCATTATGATATCACAAGGACCTGCCCCCTGGTTTCAGAGCCGGTGGAAGGCTACTGACCAGTCAAGGGAATGGGTCCTCTGGAAGTACCCAAATGGACTTCTCCTTTCTAAATGAGGGAAGATCAAGACCTACAGATCTGAAGGATCTGCCTGAGCAGATAGGCTGATCCTTCCGTGATGTCACCGAGAAAGCTTCTTCCCATGCCCAAAGTAACGAGGCATGTAAAACAATGAATGCCATTGCTTTTTCTCTCCGAGATTTTCCTCATTTTTGATACTGAGGCAAGTACAATGTGCATCGCCCTCCATGCTAGGAAAATGGACAACGGTTGGAATCAAGCTGATGCAAACAGAGAGGAATTATATTTGGGCTCATTTTTAAAGTTCGCCAGCATTTGCAAGTCCTACAGTATATCACAGAAATGAGTACACCCCCTCACATTTCATAAATATTTCAATCTATCTTTTCATGTGACAACACTGAAGAAATGACACTTGGCTACAAGGTAAAGCAGTGAGTATACAGCTTGTATAACAGTGTAAATGTGCTGTCCCCTCAAAATAACGCAACACACAGCCATTAACGTCTAAACCACTGGCAACAAAAGTGAGTACACTCCTAAGTGACAATGTCCCAATTGGGCCCAAGTAGACGTTTTCCCTCCCTGGTGTCATAAGGCCCATTGATGTCACAAGTCTCAGGTGTCCAAATTGGGCACAAAGGGTCAATATTTTGTGTGGCCACCACTCTTTTCCAGCACTGCATTAACCCTCTTTGGCATAAAAGTTCACCGGAGCTTCACAGGTTGCCACTGGAGTCCTCTTCCACTCCTCCATGATGACATCACAGAGCTGGTGGATGTTAGAGACCTTGCTCACCTCCCATCTTCCCATTTCAGGATGCCCCATAGATGCTCAATAGGGTTGAGGTCTGGAGACATGCTTGGCCAGTCCTTCACCTTTACCCTCAGCTTCTTTAGCAAG